AACTACAACTACTTCTCTCCACATTGTTCCCAGTCTGTCATTTCACTTAACACATATGGATAATAAAAATGTCTTTAAATCACAGAGAGTATAACTCATATAAGATATATACCATTGGAGAATGATGTAGTGTTTCTTAACTAGTATATTGTTATGCTTTTGGGAGTGTGTGACAATAGATGGGGTATGGATTGGATATTATATTTATCTACCACTTGTGTACATCACTCAGAACTACACTTTACAGATCACTGACACACACACACACACACTCAAGTTCTTCAGTTCGTTCAGTGTTAGCATATACCTGCAGTAAAGCACGCTAAAAAGCAGCTCCACATTCAGAGCTTTCCCCCACTTTAGCCTATGTGCATCCAGCAAGAATCTCAATATCGTTGAGTACTCTGTGTACTTGTACTGCAGAACCTGCTTCAGCTTTTTGTTCATGATGGCATGACATTGAGATTTCAGTGATACCAGCTTCTGTGTCCAGTATTTCTGGAATCTGGTAGTGGGATGTCCACCATCTTGGTGTACACTCAAGTTCAATGCTTGTTTGGTTGTTTCACACCCGCTGCTGGGTGGCAAACTTCACTGATACTACCTTTGCCAAATGGGAGTTGGCCATGAGCACACTACATAAAGCAAAGTCTGTAAAAACCACTCTGTCCAACACACATTTTGTTCAGATCACTAAATCCAATCAAGACCTGGTGTAGCTGACTTATCTTGAAAACAGCTGGGGCTATTAAGCAGCCGTTGCTAGGTACTCTCTCTGTAAACAAAGACTGCAACAGGCATGCTCTGAACCTGTCGTCATTCAAACTCAACTCTGAACACATTCATGAACTGGTTGCTTCAGACTTTCACTCCTGAACTTGCTTTTCTGTCTTTCCACATTCTGAGTCAGAGTTACTTTACAACTGGTGGTTTACTACCAATCAGCTCATCTTGGTGCCAAGCACCTTGAGACCCATGACCAGTATTTTTTTTTCAACTGAACACTTGGTTATAGTCCTTACATAACATCCTCTCTGATGAGAGGATGGATTTGTTGTTTACAGTTGCTGCTGGTCCTCACCAGCACAGTCATTCTTGGGTCCAAGTCCGACATGACTCATGACCATATTTTACCGTCTCAGATTGGAGACTCACCCATCCTGCAGGGCCAGGTCCCTGTATTTATACCCTCCAGGAACAGGGTGGCCCAGTTGTATCCCCAGGCACTGGGTTCCCTTTTATCACCTCCTATGACTCACAGGGCTATGGTGGAGGTATTTGAACCCACCTCCACATGGGGTCTGTCTATCCATCGGTTTCAGTTCCCAGCATATAACCTTAGCACAGACTCAACAGAGAACACCACCTCCAACAGTTCCTCTACTGTTTCGTGTGTATCTGTTGCTGCAGTCATGTGATTTGGTTGCCATGGAAACGTGTTTATACAAAGCCATTGCCTAGCAGTGGGTATTTTCTCTGGCTCCATGATTCTGGCTGTGAGCAGACATGTTACAGATACATATTTATGTGTATTGTTCCTAAATATGAGACATTTTAAAAATAGTGCATCTGTGTAGAAAGGGTTTATGGTTTACTTTTTAATTTTCAGATATGTTGACTATGTGAATGTCATGACATATGATTACCACTTCTATGTATGGTATCTTCCAATGACTGGCTTCAATTCCCCTCTGTACAAACAAGCTGATGAGAATGGATATTTTGCAACATTGAATACAAACTGGACTGTCTCCTACTGGGAAAGCCAGGGCATGCCCAAAGAAAAGATAGTTGTGGGGCTTCCAACATATGGACATTCATTTACGTAAGTTAGCACTGTAAGAGTTTTATATAAATTCACTACATATGCAGGGAGAACTTCAGATGTGATTGTAAGTGATGGAGGTTGAAGAATCATGAACATATGCTAATGAAGGTTGAAACTTCAATTGAAATCATCAGTTAAATAATGTGCAGAAAGAGCAGAACTCATTGATGCACAAGTAAATTTAACTTTTGATATGTTGCTTAAATCTTAACATAATTGTATTGTTAATAATAAGAGGGTAGTAACTTAGCCCTTTCACTCTCCTGGGTATGGTTGCTTTGTGTCCTTTTAAATGGTAGCCACTTTCCACTCAGAATTACTGGGTTTCTGGACTTGGCCCATCATCTGGTATTCCAAAAACCTAATGTTATCTATTTTTTTTAGAATACCAGATGATGGACAGTCCAAAACCCATTAATTCTGAGTGTTACACACCATGATCAGAACCCTTCAGAATCCACTAGCCAATTTCCAAGTAAGCAGTCTCAAAATAGTTTCTCAGGATAGAGATTTAATTCTCAGATATGATACATATTTATATTTATGAAAATGGGATATTTAAATGCTGCTGATTATAAAAATGAACTTCATGATTAAAGCACTTCAGTTTGGTGGCTGCTGTTATTCAAGTTCTTGCTAAATTCATCTTATGACATGTCATTTGTGCAGATTCATGGCTTTTAACAAGAAGGAAACATTGTCTTCACAATTTTTAGAACTGTTCCCATTTTCTTGCACATTTGAGTGCTTGTAACACCAAAAATTATGCAAATAATACTGGATTGTTAAAGTTGATTCTTTGCTCCCAGTTGTTTTGAGTTAGTATGGGCTGTAGAAGGACACCACTGCTTGTGAGAAGCATGACACGGAACACCAAGTGACCCCAGAAAATGCTCCTCTGTCAGCCATAGTTGTTTTGTTTTCTAGTACACAGGCAGTGGAAATGATTAGTCTTTACCCTTCCTTTGTCTAATTGCAAAATTTTTCCTTCAACATAGACACCAAACATACTATATCATATTGCAAGGTCATTCATTGTTTCCCTTTTTCTCAAAGTGACTTTCAGGCTTAGACCAGCATTGGTATTGCCTCGCGTTTATGCACAGGGCAGAAAATATAATTGTCATTTCTATAAGCGTTCAAAGCTTCCTGTCCAGTTGTGGAAAAGAAAGTCACAAATCAAGTTCGTGAACTGTGTTTTATTCTTATAAAAATAGGATATGATAAAGAATCAGACATTGTGTAAAGTTGTAAACTTGTATGTAGAAGTAGACACAAGCAGAACAGAGATGTATACATTTAATATGACAACTGAAACTGTAATACCAAGGAATATGTTCATGTTTTCCAACTGTACACTTTTGTTCAAGGTCCCCCCTTTAGGGTTGGTGGGTGGTATGTGCACTAAATTGTGTGCTTGAAGCCCTCCTCCAAACCAAGACACAGGGGTCCCTCATAGGTGGCCATTGTGCTGGCACCAATGCTCTTTATGGGATTTGGACACCCTTAAAGAAGTACTAGCTTGTGGGATGTGTTGCCATGCAGTGTGGTGAAAGTCACTGATATTTTGTAGGAACATACTGTTTCCATCTTCAGGGTTAAAGAGTAAGTCAAGCAAGCAGCACTTTGCTTACTCTTTGATCCTGGGGATGGTGGCAGAACCTTCGAGTATAACATTCTTAACAGTCAGTTCCGTGAGAATCTCACACTGGACTTTTTTAGTAGGGAGTCTTTTTGGCCGAAACAGGACAGCCATATGCAACAAGAAAAATAAAACCTAACTACTTTAGATCGTTTTTCTGGGTAGTGACTAGAGTGACTGGATGGACTCCAAGCATGTATTTGTTGTAGCTAGGGATGGTCTTTGCTCTCTTTATTGTTTTTCCTTCCTGCTCTTTCTTTTTACACCATTTGGAAGCTCCAGCTTTGTAGATATGAACTTCACAGGCCTTCTGTCTTGCCACATCTACAAGAATTTGACCTTTCCTTATGAATATGATGTCTCCTTTCTTGAGCTTTTCCACCTTCTTTCTGATATCCTTTGTGCACCTCTATCCAACCAAAATGCACACACACACATAGGTGCTTCACTGTAAAAGCCTCTCACAAAGTTCAACATGATTTTCCTGATATGTAGTGTCCTTTATCCAGTGATCTGTGTCTAGAGAAACATCCAACAAGATCCTTTATTGCTTCTGATGTTCTAATGTTTCACACAATTTACATATTTGTTCACATTTAGATTCACAAGCTGTGAATAAATCTTTATGCTTTATGGTACACCTTGTTGCATCTCTTCATCACCTGAAATTTCCTTCTCTGGATTGTTCAGAGGGTAGAGCTCGTCAGTCAGAAAAGTCTAAGACATGTCTGACTTCATAAGGTCAGTCGTCACAAGTACGGGGAAAGCACCAATGCCAGAAAAGGACAAAATATAGAAATTTTTTGAAACCTACACAGAGACATTTGTTTACTTAACAAGGCTGTGCATAAGTACTTTTGTTAATCAGCGGTTTTCATCACACAGTTATCTGTCATCACACATCATAGTCTAGTAGGGAGTTCTGTTGCATCATCCTTGGTTCATATCTGTGCTTGGAGACTGGCTATCTTGACATGTTTTAATCCCATCTCTTCAGGTAAATGCTGAGATAATACCTCAAATTAGGACATGATTGATACCTTTCACATATTTTCAAATTCATATCACTGATCATCCTTCCATTTGATACTATATTGTTCGAACTACTGACTGCAAAGAAAAATAAACTATAAATAAATAAATAAGTGAAATGATGCAATCATAAACACAAGAACTTGATATGTCCACATTTTTGAAAATGTTATATCTGTTACATTTTTGTCATGTGAAGAAAGTGAAGTTCATGTGGTCCTCGATACACCTGTTCATTTGCATAATATTTTTGACACACTGGAAGAGAGACTGGGGGGGGGATGATTAACTTGATGTCATTCCAAAACGGTTTATAAGGAAAAGATATTACATAATAAGATAACAGTGAGTAATCAAGACAAACGTGAAATTCTAACCAGTGCTGTGTGACATAGAATGTTCACACCAATCAGTGACTGGAAGTCAGCTGGCATCAAAATGTGCCCATGTGTCAGGATCACTTCTGTGTTGTAATCAGAGCAATTGATGTACTTACAAGAGTGACATGCAGTTTGTAGATGTGCAGTGCCACTTTACAGGCACAGTATGGCATGAGACTTCATGCCAGATTTCAAGAATATCTGGATGATGGTTATTGAGATAGGAGAAGGGAAGTTCATTTTTTTTTTCTGGAGTGTGGTTTTGTTATTTTAAGAATAAAATAATTTTAAAAAATTTTCAGGCTTGTTAATGATGCCAACCACGGTGTTTCAGCACCAGTTTTGGGCTTTGGTGTGTTGGGAGATAGTGGCTTTATTAGTTACCCTCAGGTCTGCCATTTTGTGGAAGAGGAAGCCGCTACTGTATTTGATCGAGACAGTCGAGTACCATATGCTTTCAAAAATAGGGAATGGATTTCATATGATGATGAAAGAAGTTTGGCTTATAAGGTATGTACTAGACTTAGATATTTTGTCTTCATTAATATGGTGATGTACAGGAAATGGTTTTGTTAGTGAAGAAAACAGTATTGTTAGAACCTCCAGGTTTCATAAAAATTGAGAATATTTTCTGTAGCTGAGAGATTATAAGCCATTGAAGGACTCTTTTTTTCTGTGGAGTTGGTTAATTAGTAATTATAATTATTAAAACCTGCATTTCTTATTACCATCATGATTAAGTTAGCATTCAGTCATATTTTAGAAGATCCAGGTGACCGCAGTACAAGGGACTTAGTCCCCCCTAACTAGCAATAAAAAAATAGCCCAGAGACAAGCCATCCTGTCTCAGATTTCCATTGGCTTCCTTAGACCCCCCAAGAATTCTCTGGGGTAGTACTTTTAAACGCCGTGGAACCATGTCTTTCCATATCCCTTTTAATTCATCATTCAACACTACAGAAACTGTGCAGTTGAAAAGTAACTACAAAATAAAATAAAATTTAGTGATTAATTACAGCAATACCTCTTACATTTCCAGAAAGAGTTTTAAAATAGTTACAACTTAATACTTGAAAACAAAATTAAATTGCTTTTAGTAACTCATCATATTTGTAGTAAAATTTCCACATAACAAAATTAAGGAAGCAAAACTTTTTAAAATTCATTTACAGAGATTTGAAAGATGCTCATTCTTTTTAGACTACATTTTTATCCTTAATAGAGAAAGAGTAAAATTGTGAGATCTCCATGCCATCTATATATATGTCTCCTTTCAACTCTTGAAGAAATTGACCAGTCTTCTTGAAATCTGGCACAGTGTTATGGTATTGGAGGCCACTCCATCCTCATGCTTTTCAGTTTCCTTAACAAGTAATAACTACAAGGTGAACACAGACTTATGATGTGGGAGTAGCACTTACACCACTTAATACAGGGTCACGAAATACTAATCTTTTAAAATTCTGTAACATTCATAACTTTTTTAACAACATTGTACATGAGCATCCTGCTACATTAGTTAATCTCTCTCTCACACACACACACACACACACCAGTGCATCTTCACAAGTTATTGGTTGAGTGACCACTTAGTCCATGTTTTCAGGAAAATTCAGTGACATGATTCTGGCACACAGGGCCATCATCAGGTGCTTATGGCTCTGTGTGGCTGAAACATGTCATTGAATTTACATGAAAGCTTGGACTAAGTGGTGATTAAACCAATATCACATTTTAAAATTAAAACAACAAATTCCTGTTTCTGTTTAATAACAATAACTAATGAAATACTGAAGCTATGCATGTGAAGCTTTTGGTATGAGAAAGATCATAAATACAAATAAGGTATTGTGTGAAATATTGTGTGTAAGTTATCAGTTACAAACATGACCATGGTTCAGAATTTTGAGGCTATTTTCATCAAATCTACTCATAATATGAACAAAATCTGTACAGAGGAGGCATATGCTACATTATATGTTCATGAACCACTGCAAAGGCTGTGCACAGTCAGTATACTTGTACATGGCAACAGTAGTGCTCCTTCACCTGAAATATAATTGCTTCTATGGTAATATCACAGTATGTAGTAGCCAAAACTTAGAGTGAATAACACTCAAATTAAGAAATTAGGCCTGATCATCGTAATTGAAAAAGTTTGGAAATGAGGTCAAATTACATCCAAACACACTATGGAATTCATATATTTTATATGACAAGTCTTGTTTTGATTAATTGATGTAGTTAGAGAATAGTGTTTTTGCAATGCTTTTGCTAACTGTACACATTCTTACAGGCTGAATATGTTGCAAGTGGCGGTTATGGCGGAGCTATGATTTGGGCACTCAACATGGATGACTTCAAGGGTGAATGTTCCAATTCAAGGGAAAACTGGTTTCCCCTCATTACCAAAGTTAAATCAGTTCTAGCAGATGACCAGTTGTGACAAATGGAGCTGGGCTTAACGAAGGCCCTTGGTATCTGATGATTTTCCCAATTTTTTTACACTGACCCATCTGAAAATTAATCTTAACTCACTGGATACATTTGAGACACAGCTTCTGAACATGATATCAACAGTATTTTGGCATCTCAGTATCTTGTTTACATGTTCCTGTACAATTTTGCAACACTTCTGAATTTCCAGGTCATGCCAGAAGAACAATCTGTAGCAAGAAATGCTACATTATTTATAAATAATATCCGCAAACCATATAGTAAAGTTGCACTTTTTTTTTTTAATTTGCTAGTGGGGGCTGGAGTCGAGCTGAGTCCACTCGGCACAGTGGCCATTGATTGGCCTATTGTACCTGCCCCGGGTGATTATGATGATGAAGAATTTGATGGAATGAAGTTTGGCAGGGGAAACCGAAGTACTCGGAGAAAACCCGCCCCAGCGCCACTTTGTCCACTACAAATCCCAGTTGTCCAGACCCGGGATCGAACCCGGGCCGCTGCCGTGATAAGCCAGCGAGTAACTGCTTGAGCTATGGCACGGCCAAGACTTCACTTACTAAACGGTATTGAAGTTTTCTGTAAGTATAATAGTTTTTACTGAATACATTTTTATCAGTATGTCCAGTAGCTGTTACCTTACAGCTTACAAGAGTTTTCATTGTGACATAGGTTTTATGACAAGATATTGGTTTTGTGAATGCCTGAGAACTTCATTTAGAACATGGTATATGCAAATTGCATTATATCTGTTTATAACTGCAAATATTCGTTAAGACACTTGTTCTTGTTCACTCATTGTATATTGTCTCTTCAAGTTTCCATACATTTATTGGTACAGTAAAATAAGTTTAAAAATTCCAAAGTTATTTTCTTATTTTTCATAGGTAATAGCATTTTTCATACATAATTTATATACTGTCTTTTTGTTAAATTGGCGATATTATTTACCTGCAGAACAGGACAGCAACTATGTCCATGGTTTAATCAGTGAATCATGTCTTATTTTGTTTTTCACAGTTACTAACCCTTAAATTCTTAATAGGTTGTGTTAGAGACTATCCTTTAAGTAGCTCAAATAGGCAAGTACATCTCTTATGCAAGAAATGAAAATGGACGATATTGTTTCCTAACCCTTCCTATGCAGATGGATCATAACCAAAGAGACAGTATTAGGGATTATTGATTGGTGGCTCAAGTGGTAATGCCTATGACCTGTATTTGGTAGGTGCCTGGTTTGAATCTCAGGTGGGACACTGGCTATCGTGACTGATTTTTCATGGTTTTCCCCAGTCTTTCCAGGCAAGTACCAGGAGAGTACTCATGTTAAGCCATGACTACTTCTGTCTGTAGCCTTTCCAGTTCATTATTCAATAATCATTGGTGCTGTATAGTCTGAGCTACTGACAGTGTCTTTTTGTGGTGCATTTTTGTGATGCTGTCAGTATCTAGACTATGTAGTAACAAATGGTAGCATGATTTACAAGTGATAAATTGGAAAGACTTTGGAAGGAAGCATTGTGACCTGAGGTACTCTCCTAGAATCTGCCTGTAGAGACTGAGGAAAATATGGTATAGACAATGTTCTGGCTAAGATTCAAACCAAGCACCACCTGAATAGAAGCCTGAAACAGTACTGCTACATGAACATGCTCAGTGACAGTGTTGTTAATGCACTATACATAAAATTAAATAAAATACCAGCAAGCCACTCTGGGTCTTCATCAAGAAATACAAGAACATCCATGCCCTCTTTTCCTCAAACAGTGGGGCATGTTTCTGTTTCTGTTGTAATAAAGTGAATCATCCAGCTGAACATTTTGCAGTAGTTGGTTTACGATATACCTCCTGCGTGAGGAGATTATAAATTTCACACATAGGGTGCATGATTTATGCTGTGACATGATTTTTAGTTCATACCCCTATACAAAATAATTAGGATGATACAATGTTTTCTCGACATTCATGTGATCATGAAATTAAAGAGTTGAAGAAAGTGTAGCAGCTTCAAACTTATGCATCACCATTTAATTCAGGCATAAAGGGTTAAGTTTGTCCTGTTGTACAACTTACTTATTTCTGTTGTCTGTTATAACCAAAATAATGAAAATATATTGTCATATGTAGGGTGGTATGCGTGACAAAATGATGGGTTCTAGTTCGGATGATTGGATTTATTGGCACTTTGGATACACTCTCTCTTTGAATTACAACTAGTGCAGCGCTATTGCTGTTTCTACACTTTATAATTCAGTGTTACACACACACAATCACTTCAAATCATTATGAAGTCTTCTCGTCTTCAATCACTTTGTACTCCTCTGTCCTGATCTTCACAATTCATGGTCCGTTCTCATCCTTGTACTCTCGACTGTTGAGTGCTCCTGGATTCTCCACTCCTAGTTCCAGTTTGCTCTTCCGGCTTGCGACTGACTGCAAACAAACTTTTTGTCCCCTATAAACCTTCGGCACGGACCTACAGAAAACAAGTCACGTGATTCCTAGCCATCGACTTCATTGGTGCGCTGGCTGTTGCATAGCAACAAGCAATAAACATTTGTTCACTGAGATACAGCTTCTATTGTTGTGCATTTTAACATGTTTATAATGGTTTAAGATGTCACTGGTTATTTTCCTTTCAAGAATGTAGCATTGGGCATTTAGTGAACAAAGTTTTGTTCAACCCTCTTTCCTTATTTAATATACTGTCACGATTTTAGAGTGTACAAATTACTATCGCACACAGACTAGTGTTCTCCATCACAGTGTTCACTGTGCTGCTTAGTGGTGGCTTCCAGTGGTGTAGCATTCTTGGCTTCCATATCCAACAGCTCCTGTCCTCACTGGCTGGCACCTTTTAGGTGCAGCTCCTGAGCTCAACCAACTTACTTTCAATTGCCATTCTTCTACTGTTTCATCATGTAGCTATTGCATGGACCACATAGAGAACATTGCTTCCCAGATACTCCATTGTTGCATGTTATGAATCTGTTGCCTAGGAACGGGTATATTTGTAGAGCCATTCCCTAGCAACAGCTGTCTCTGCTGGCTTCACAGTTCTTGGCTTGAGCAAACATGCAACATTATCATTTAGCAGTTTTCATTTCATTTCTTTAGATTAACTTATCACTGTCACTGAGCTGTATGTTCAAAGTATTTTATCCCTGATGATGGCTACTTTCTCTTGTTAATAATATAATGTTAATGTGTATATTACTTAGCAGATAAAGATATTATAACACTTATTCTGTTCAAACTGACATGACTACGATCAGTATTTGACTATTGTATTTAGGAATATGTATCTGTATGTTTCTTATTGATTGTGTTAGAAGTCCAAAGCTTTTTGCAGCATACTTATATGGTATGAAATTCATAGAGGAATGTGAATACACTCAATTAACTATTTATTTAGAAACTATATAATGAAGCTTCAAAATAGTGATAGCATACAGGCTGTGTTTTGATATTTGTTTATAGGATTTTATTGATTCTAGGTAAAATAAGTTCAGAACAATGTTGGCTTATTCATGAAGTAAGAATTTTTGTCCTAAGTACAGGTTAGATAACATATGGATGTGAAGATAATGTAGGAGCATACATTTGTACTACTATATGGTATAATTTGTCATTACAGTATTTTATCATTTATATAATACATAATACCGTTTGTGCTTCCTTAATTCTGTACTGTTACCAGTATTAGAACTCCAGCATCAAGTCACTAATGTTCAATTATTAGGATGCAGATGGATACGCCAAATTAGTAGTATAATGTAGCCATTGTTCAGTATTTTTTTTATTCTTTTGTAACTTGCATAAGTAGGTATAAATGGTGCTTATCTTTCTTTAGAGGTGTATGTTCATAAGGTAAATGCATGGATACACGGTGATTAGTCTGACAAATTTACGTTCAGTCCGACTGACCAGAAAATGGGAACTTCGACTCTCACATCCCTGTGGGCCTCAACAGCCTGTCACAGGGATAGCTTTACCTTTTCACCTTAAATGTAAGAGAAATGTCTATTAGTGCCTTTTATAGGCTAATTGTCTGACAGTTGTTTGCCTGTAGTAGAATGATTATATTTTTATCAGTAAATTGCGGAAGAAAAACCCATGCAGAAATTTTAAAGAGGTTTGCTGAGCATAATGTGTAATTTGTTTTTGTGTGTGTGTGTGTGTGTGTGTGTGTGTACTAATAGTACTGTAAGATAAATTAAAAGAAAATAAAAAAACATGGTGCTACTTTATTCACTTTTTATAACATTATTGTATTATCTTAGTTATCTGTTCAAGTTGTAATACATGTGTATAGTTATGGAAACTTCTTTCAGAAGTGAAGTTAGGTATTTAATATTATGTAAATCCTTAGTTGCAAAGAGGTGGATATTTGAAAGGAGAAAACTGGGAAGAAATATAATTTTTGTTGGAGTGTATGTTAAAAGACTTTTGTGGTTATATTGGACAAGAAGTGAGATAGGGAATGACAATCACTCATTCCTGTCCACTTCCCTTCTACCCACAATTGCTATTTGAAACCATCCTAATGACTTAAAGACAATACCAGTGAAAAATGAGACCAAATGGTTGTGTATTAAGAGAAAAATAAACTAGATACTATAAATGAGGCCACTACACATACAGAATAGTCCCTTATAGGTACAGTCATAAACACTGATTCTGCTGATTCAGCCTGCAAAATAACATAGGCTTTGGCCAGTAGAAAATACTGAAAATCTTAAACACAATTGTGAGTAGAATTAGTGGAAGCTGGTTGGTTAATTGAGATAACCAAGATGATATTCAAAAGATGAGCAGAACAATAAAATTTAAACCATATCTGAGAATGTACCAACCAGACGCAATTAGAAAACACGTGCACCTTCCTAGCTACAAACCCGTATAACTTGCACAAGTGCCCCAGGCAGCTACAGTGCTACCCAAATTCAGTCGAGGAATGAACAGTCCATCCATTGGATATAGTGTTTGCAGCTGATGACAAGTTGGAGAGGTGCGGGAGAAGTAACAAGGTGCATACAAGACTGAGA